AAGGATCATAATGCTACAAGTAACATGATACTGAGAGGAGGAGACTGAGCTTGGCCAATGCAGTAAGCAATGATATTCCCACTAAGCGCTCCAAGTGCACTCGCTTCTAAGACAGAGCCAAAAGGCAAACTTCCAGCAAAGCCTGTATTCAAACCACTCTTACCAGATTCCTCTGAATTCCACCAGCATGTGATTTCTGAAGAGTTTAATTAATTAACATCCCAGTTTGTACTACTTATAATCATCTATTATAAATGGTGTCATATTACTCGACACAGTGAATAAAATAGGAACTTATAACTGACCTTCCCAATAAGTTCCTTTTTTAAGTATTTTTCCGAAAAAATAAGTGTACATCACAGCCATGTTATAACAGATTCAGGATTCTAAGTTTTTTTTTTCCCCTTCTTGCTCTCATCCTGGAAATTAAGCTGCCAAAGTGCAATTAGGAAATCTCATAGTAAAGCCAAGAGCAAGTTATTCACTAATGACCAATGTTACAAAATACTTGTTCAGCACCAAACTGAGCAAAACACATAAAAACAACAGTGCAGCCTCATAAAGACAGTGAGGCTGATAGGAATGCAATGCCCCAAGTCGTTCACTTCAGAAGTCCAACCCACATGCTCCCTGCAGCCCCCCACCTCCCACCCCCATCACCACCACCCAGGAATCCTCTGATGCACACCTCCCCTGAACTCGGTGAACCCCTTAACGCCACTGACACAAACACCCTTAGGATGTGAAAACCAGTCTCCCTTTCTGGGCAGACTGAGACAATGCCAGAGACTCCCACACAGATTTCCAAGCACCACTGAGCTCAACTAGGAGAGATGAGGCCAGTTGAAACATGACCTGAGAAACTGTAGCTTTTGAATTTTTTTGCTATGGGAATGAAATATTTAAATTGAGTGCCTCATGCAGCAGCTGGCAACATTGGTGGTTAGACACTTACTGACTTATGAGGTAATGAACATGATGCGACTTAACCAGGATGCTACTAATATATTCATACAAACAGATAAGAGAGAACACAATGTGCTAGGCAATTATACTGGTTGCTTTGAGTAAAAGTATGGAACCAGCACCATTTTAAAACATAATAATTGATAACATATCTCCTGGAGTATGCTTCCACAAAGAATATGTCATGACAACAATCACATGGACCAAGAAAAGCAAGAGACCATAGTAGAGATCTCATAGAACAGAGAAGATGGCTACAGATGAAGCAGCAATAATGCTAAGTTCACACTATAGGACTGTCAGAGTAGTCAGATTGCTGTACTGTTCACATTACACAAGTCAACCCTTTGTCCACGTGCGTTCCCTTGCCCACCACACCTGTTATTCCCTTATTCCACTTCCCCTTTTCCTTTCAATCTGTTATGCCTCAACCCTAGACTGAGGTTCGTAACACCGTTATCTTGTAATTGGGACTCTTGTAGTCATTGTGGTTTACACACTACAGAACTGATCAGTGACAGTGGGTCACACTACAAGATCTTTCACAAGAAGGAAAAAATAAAAATAAAAAAAATCACTGACATGTCATAAAAACACATTCAAGAAGTGACAAAGGGAAACAACAATTCTCTGGTTAATGCACTATAAATTGTTAAAACACTAATCAAATTACAACATATGATCTACATTTAAAAACATGTGGCATGTTAACCCTTGTAGACACAGAACTTTCAGGAAACACTATTACATACCAAGTCTTTAGTAGGGATGTCACGATACCAGAAATTTAGTAGTCAGTATTAGGGCTGTACGATATGATCAAAATCTCACATGCTAATACAAGGGGGGGGGGGATTCTCATATACTTAAAAACATTATAAAAATGGAATTTCTGTAAATGTAAGCAACAATACCATGTAGTGCAAGGTTAATTTTTGGTAAATGTCGCAATAATTCCTATGAATGACTTCATTTTTCATGGCTTTTTGAACAGATGAAAGCTGTAGTTTTTAACTGCTGGCACTTATGTCTTATTTGTGGCTCATTAAAATCGGTCATACACAGTACTGTCCAGCCACTATCTGTGGACTACAGTGTTTGTATGCACAAAATACCGCGTAATATGTTGCTATCAACTGATATTGTTAACAATGGCTAACAATTAAACGGGCTAGAACCGTCATGCCAAATGTCTTCCGTCACCCAAATTCCTGCCCCCTGTGACGTATCACACAGATGTTTGGCTGATGATGCAATCATGACGACGTAGTTTCAAGGTACCCCATACGTTGAGTTCATCCTTACTACAGCAGCAACAGTGCTCATCAATAAAATATGTTTACACATTTTTTTCTTAAAAAGCGTGTTAACTTTCTGATTAAAGAAATCATTTGCATTTAGCTTTAAAGTACAACCAACGTCTTATTAGATTCTTAACTGCAGCAGTACAGGATAAAACATTGCTACCAAGCTAAATGTACAAATCTAATAAAACGTTGGTTATACTCTCAAGCTAAATGTAAATGATTAGTCATGTGTAGCTCCTGTGCTTGTGGGCATCATTCTTCTTCTTCTTCAGCATGTAAGGATAGACTGGAACACTTGTAGACACATATGCTTCCCCAGACAGTCCCGGATGAATTGCAACATCGGTACTTACGCTGCCTACGGAACCTACTATACAATACTCCAAAACAAACATAGGTGCAAACAACCATAACTATAACCGTAAATGTTTACTGAATACCTCTTTCTTGAACACTAAGAACGTTTACTAAAACTGAATTTTTACACCTTTTTAAACTCCTCTCCCGGGTCTCCCCTCACCCTGTGTCTTGTGATCTCATTGTCTGTAGCTCAACACCCCATTCATTGCCAGTCGCAACCAGGTCACAGTACAGTTCACACAAAAGGATTTGGAGTCACAAGAGGTCCAGATATTTAGCCTGCTATCTGATGAGCATCGGTGACTCATTGGCAACTCACTCTGTCCGGTCGCATCTTTGAACAGGTCACAAACAGCAATCAGGCACCAATTTGACATCACTCAGTGAGCACTAATTTTCCTCCAATCTAGGGTTTTGTCAGCATTCTCCAAAAACTGTCAGCAAGTGGAAAAATCAGGGTTAAAATTGTGTAAACTTATCCCTAAACTTAAAAAAAAAAAAAAAGTCCACCTTATTCTAATTTGAGGAGGGGGCATTTTCAATCAGAATATGATTTGAAATGGATATAAAACTTCTTTAATGTAAAAAAAAAAAAAAAAAAAAAACACGTAAAGTTACATTTGTTTACAAAATGTTCTGAGTGTTCAGGGAACAAGTACTCAAAAGTTTCCACAGTTAAGGCATTTTGTGGCTTGAACTTTATATAGGTTTGTAACAGTGTTTCTTAAAAGTCCCATGTACACAAGGGTTAAGGTGTTCATTCATACAGTTAACACGACAAACATATGTAACCATTTAACAAGACATTACCCGGATGTGCTGCTGCCAACCCTTCAGCCAGACCATGAATGTGGATCTTCTCTTCAAGCAAAAAAATTTAACTAATTTTATTTTTGGCACGTTAAGTCCTTTTGAAAAATGGCTGAGTTTTGGTTTTCAACTATGCCTTTCAGTCTTATCTTGTGCTTTGGTTGGTTGGTTGGTTTTGTTTTTAGGGAACTATACCCATATGTTCCTCAAAAAAAAAAAAAAAATTGGTATACAGGCTTTTAGCCTCTCTCTAGCAGTTTTCACAATTGGTTTCCAGTGACACATTAGTAAATCTGTGATACATTTAGAGCGTTTTAAAAATCTCCAAATATGGAAAGCTGCTATATATTGTTTCATATTTCATTCCCATGAAACTGATATCGAATCGGAATCGGATTGAATTGAATCGTTAGCATGTGAGTCGGAACAGAATCGAATCGGGGCATCTGTGCAAAAAAAAAAAAACATGGATGAGCGATGGCACGCTTCGTTTCCTCTTCTGGGGTGCTGGGAGTCGCCGAAAATGAGGGTGAATAGGCCTTGGAAAAACCCCTCTCTTGCAAATACACGGGAAGATAAATGGCACTCACTGATACTGTAAGACGTTCAGCATCGCCATTTAGTGTGTCAATTCCAAAGGCTAACAAATGCGAGCCGGGAACAGGATGTGCACTGGACACAAAATGATAGCAAGTCCATTTCAACGACGGCATTGACTGACACTTAAAAATGAGAACAATGAGTGTAACGATCCCGGCAAGGGACATCTGGACGGCTCAGGGCTTTTCCCCCTGATGGCTGTCATGTAAATTAACATCTTCGAAGCCACAGCCACTCACCCATCGGGCGAATGGAGACCTGGTGGCCGGAGAGAAACTTTCCGTATGGTACTCAGACGCCCTTACCGTCTTTTTTCAATGTACATGCGCTTAGCTAGTACGTATTTTGTTCATTTTAACAGCCGGCCAAGTATCCTTACACTAATGCGAAATTTAAGGGGAAAATCCTTTCAATCGTATGTATTTGGAAAAATCAAAAGCACAGTAACAATGAGCAATTAGCACGCAGTATACAGCTAGCTAGTTAGCTCGAACAATGACAGGAAAAGCCAGCTGGCTGCCCAGTTATCGGCTGCAGCTACTAGCCAGCCAGCCAGCAAACCGCCAACATATTCCCACTGCTACCCAGACACGGAGCGCATGCCAAAAGCCGGCCGCACTCGGCACCTTTTAAAAGATAAATCCGCGGTCTTTCCGGGCGGCTACAGCGGCGTTATCGAACGGCGTGACGCGTTAGCTACAGCGGCGGCGAAACAAAAACAGCGCCGGCTAGCCGTTAGCCCTTCGGATAGCTGCGGCGCCCTACATAGCCGACTTTGGGTACACCTACTTTTCGTGGCGGAGGGTCGTTTCGTTAGCCGACTGCCCGGCTAGTCAGCTATTTAGCCAGCTAGCTAGCTATCCGAGATGATAGCTTTAGCTTACCATCTCCCCCGAATAGGCACAGCATGGTTAGCCAGCTAGTACTCGGTAAACTAGTCGTCATCGAGATGCTTACCTTAATATCGCCGTAGTTGAGTTTGTTGTGTAATTGGTTTGCTTCTCTCGCGGTGTATTTTCCCAAACAGTAATCCACACACACGACGGCAACGTCTTCTCTGTCTCCCTCACCCACTCCACGTATCTGCTCCTTCTCCAGTAACTGCCAGCGTAGTATCGGACGGTGGCCGCCGAGTGGTGCCGGCTCCTTCTATAGGTCGCTTGCTTGCTTGCTCTTGCTCGCTCTCGCTCTCGCTCTCGCTCTCTCTCTCTCTCTCTCTCTCTCTCTCTCTCTCTCTCTATCTGTCTATCTATGAAGCTAGCTAGCTATCTCCATATCGCTGTGCTTCTTCCTTCGCCCGAAGTAACTTGGCGTTTGGCCGAACGCTCGTTTTCTCCCCTCTTCCACCCACCCTTCACCGCGTCGTCATCATGAAATCACGCTGAGATTTGAGGCCACCAGCGGGATCGCTGGCGCAGGTTCCGGGCAGTCCACGAAGAAACGCTGCGCGTGGGCCGGTAATTAGGCAGTTAAAGGGCCTTAGCACAGGCATTGTGTAAACATAAAAATCACCAAGCAAGCGGCATGAAAATAGTTTATGTGAAATAGGCTGTTTATTATCTTCTCTTGCTTTATAGTTTTGCACATTTATGCGGTTTAATATTTGCTTTAAGTCATTCGTGGTAATTGTCTTTCTCAGGTGTGCTGATTAATTTGTGTTGTATTGTGTAGGATACAAAATTATATTTTGTTTAAACGTCGTTCAGCCACATATTAATTCTAACGGGAACATCTTGCTATTCGTGGTCCATCCCAGTTTCATTTCTCAGTACATTTAATGGTTTATTTAAATTTACTTACATAAGGTGTCATAGAATACTGGTGCATGTGCTATTTTATCAGCAGGCACTTTTGACCAAAGGCACTTGTGTTAGGAAATCGTTGAACATTTCTAAAGTTGGTTATTCGCTAAACAAATTGTAGAAGTTAGACCATCTCCTGCCAGCACCTGGTTTGGCCATTGACTTCATGTATTTACATTTACATGTATTGTTACTTAGCAGATGTCAAAGTGACATACAAGTGAGGCACCCAAAAAACAAAAAAAAGATACAAAGCCTACTAGACCTAATGCCAGCACCTTTTACTGCAACCACATGCGTTCAGCTTAGGCATGCCAGAAAATGGGGAGGCACATGATTTGTTTCGTATGATGCTGATCCCAACTTCTGACCCTTACTGTGTCAAAGATTTCTGTCTCTTGAGAGTTCAATAGGCTGGATGCTACATGTGATTTCAATCACCAATGTCTGTAACTGTAATCTAACTCACAGGTTAGCTAGCTGTTTTTTATAAGAAAGTGCCACATAAATTTACCTTGTCAGTACATGTTTTTGTGCAGAACATAACCCAAATAGTTGTATACATTACTGGCAATCTGTTCACCATTGTAGATAGCAAGCTTGTTAGGGTAAGGCATTTTTTCCACTATAAATATATAGACTGTAAATATCAGCTAAAGTTGGCTGGAGCAGTTACAGTTGAAGTCTTTTTCATCTATTGTCTAACCTCAACTTGAAATTTACATGGTGAAATCTATTGCAATAAGCAGTTAACTGTCAGTATTAATATTTATATTCCACATACTAGGTTAACTAAATATATGTTCAGCTTCAGGTGAACATATTGACATGTCAAAAGAAACATACATTTTTGTTTTCTATTGAATACTTAGTTCTAGAGTATCACTGTATTATAATACTGAGGTGACATACACAGTGTTGCACATTGAAAAGAGGTATACATCTATCAAAGCTGATGAAGGCATTGCATGCATGCTTTACTATGGATGATCATGCCCATGACACATTCTTTCTATTCATTATGAAGTTTTGTGTGTGCTATAAATCAAATTAAGAAGAATTTAGCTTATGGAATATACACATTTCCTAGTAGAGGGAAGGTGGTCTATTTCAGAGCAATGATGTTACAAATAATATTTGAATGTAGAATTGCTTTAGCATGGTTCATGCTTCATTGTTTGTTTGTCATCAGGAGGATAGAGGAACTCATGGAATCCCAATTGCATACATTTACCTTTAAAACCAGCATGGATTTAGAGTACCCTGATCATGCAAGGGCATGAAAAATGATGTGGTATTTACTTAATATAATTACTACTTTATTGCAGAAAAATAATTCATGACTTTGTGGATTCTTCAGTTTACATTTCTCTCAGATTACCCAGATCTATGTTGTACCAATTATTCACAAGATTCTGAGTAATACACAAAATACACTTAGCTCATCCTGTGGGGAATCACACATGTGCGTAACTGTTCACATTGATTCTTCCTCATTTATTTGTTACTTCAGATCATATTTTGTGTTATGCATAATTTTTTGCTTCAGTCACAGAATAAGTCATAAAAGAACTGCCCTGGAGGTAAGGGCAGTGATATTATTATACTATTATTATTCTATCCACTGTGCTTCACCTGTCATTAATGCACCTGGAAAAGAGAGATTCTCACGTAAGGATGCTGTTCATCGACTTTAGCTCGGCTTTTAACACCATCATCTCTCATACTAAGCGGGCTGGGCCTCAGCACTACCCTGGTGAACTGGATACGAGATTTCCTGACTGATAGGCCACAGTCAGTCAGAATTGGCACCAACACCTCCAACACCATCACCCTAAGCACAGTCCACTGCTCTTCACACTACTGACCCACAACTGCACAGCAGAGTCCAGCTTAAACCAGATCATCAAGTTTGCGGATGACATGACTGTTGTGGGCCTCATCAAGAACAATAACATTTCTGCATACATGGAAGAGGTGGCGAGAGTGGCTCAGTGGTGTAAGAGCAACAACCTCTCTCTAAATGTAGACAAGACCAAAGAAATTATCATCGATTTCAGAAGATCCAGTACTGTTCACGCACCTTTCACCATCGATGGCGCTGTGGTTAAGAGGGTGAAGAACACCAAGTTTCTGCACTATTTATTTATTACCTCTGCACTATTTATTTACTGCCTGTTTGCACCTTGCACACGCTGTTACTGTAATGTTATGTGTACTATATGTTGCACCGGGGCCATGGAGAAACATTGTTTCATCACTCTTTGTACATGTATGAAGCTGCTGATGACAATAAAGTAACCTTTAAACTTGAACCTTGAACTATGATAAAACAACGATATATGTATGCTGAAGGCAAAAGAAATCAACAGTTCTGTCAAAGGAGGTGATATGTAAAATGTCCAGACCTGAGTATGTCATTTGCATATGCCATACATGCCTTATTTTTGTTTCTACTCTAGCTTGTAACAGGAACAGCAAAGCACACATATTCTAAAGAGGATCGAGCATAATGACCCTCTCAGATTCCCTGGGGGGTGGGGTGAATCTGCTATTGTCATACCTCCCTGGGACCCCTGCATCCAGCTTAAGAGGAGCTGGGTTTGTGTGTAACCTCAGTTCAGTTCAGTTCAATTCAACTTTATTCGTACCCAAAGGTAAATTTGCTTTGCAGTAAAGTGAGTCACAAAAATAACACTATAACACATAACCATAATTCCACATAAAAGACTAATACCTTAAACCTGTGAATAGTCTAAAGAGAGAGATGGCACTATGCACAGTACTGTGCAAAAGTCTTAGGCAGTGTTTAAAGCTATTAATCCTAGTAGTAAGGGTATATGTGCTCAGAACAAAAAACACAATTTAATATTATAACATATGAAAATCCAAAGTAACACAACAAAGACTCACAAGAATGTCCTCTGTTCTCCAAAGATTCACTGATAACTTGATGGATGGCTTGATGAACACCGCTTCAATTCCCAAACCTCTCCACAGGGGCACCCCAGCCATTCCATGTATTTGTTACATTTTGCATCCAGCTTAATTAATTCTTCGATTTAATTAGTTTTAAAATGTCAATGAGGTGTTGATTAGCCGTAGGAGGTGGGGTAGTAAAAAACATGGCTATATTGGATGATTGAGGAAAATACTGGGGTGACTTTAAGAGAGGTTTTGAAATGGCTAAGCTGAGACACTTTGACAGACATAATATCATAGTTTTACAGCAATATGAAGGTCATTTGAACATCATTTTCCTAGACTGCCTAAGACTTTTGCACAGTATTGTAGATGAGAGAGAGCCATGCTATGATTTGGCAGACAGGGCATGTGGAGGCCAGGAAATTGCTAATGGTCCAAAACCTTCAGTCCTGTGGGTCAGCTGGTCTAACATTCCCCCCCCCCCCCCCCACCGCCCATCTATAATCTGTCACCCATTTTTGCATATCATAAAGAGTGCTCATGCCTGCAAGCATATTTCTTGCAAAGATGGATTTTTTTGACTGATTGGAGGGAAGTTTATTTCTAATTGTTGTAGCTATCATATGTATCACATTGTAAAACACTATTTACTGCTAAGGGAGTCAATTCATGAGTACTATGTGTCTTTTCACAGTGCTCAAAAACAATCAGTTTCTGCTAAAAAGCTGGGTAGAATTGTCTCATATTTTCTGATGCAGGTTGTACAGTCTGACAAACACATCTTCACAAGGCTGCCACAAAGTTGCTTTTTAAAACTATTTTTTAAAGCCTCCCAGCTGAATGTTCACAAGAAATGTAACAGGTGTAACATGCCCTTATAGCAGGTGAGGACTAGACTGACTCGTTGGAGGAGAGCTGACATTAAACCCGTCTTCAAATGATGTTCTTATCTCGTGATCGCTGGAGAACCAGATAATTGCATTCTCTATCACTAGTACACTTCAATATCAAAAGCTCAGGCACTTGATAATATTTTCTCTCTTTTTCCCCTGTTCACATGTTGACATTAAAGCCAGTTCAGTCTGACTTTAACCTTCAGATTGCAGGAAAAGCTAATTAAAGCTCTGCAAGATTTGAAACATCAAGATAGATTAAACATCTCAAGCCAGTAGCTTCTGAAAAGACATTGCTGTGTGTCAGTGGGAGTTCTTTTCCGCACAAGCATGTTTTTTTAATGATGTATGTTCAGTGACCCCATGTTCTATGAAAACACTGGATTGTGTGAGTCAAACATGAAACTGTATATGACACAGGTATAAAGCAGCCTTTTAGAATCTATCCTGGGAACATTCCTGTTTGAAGAATTATTAGATTATGAATCCTAAACTAGTTTGTCACAAGGTTTGTTAATTTCAGAACCTTTCTTGTGTTTTCTTTATTTTGAGGCACACGCCACTTGATTTTAGCAATA